GTGGGACGGGGAATTTTGTTGAATGACGATATTTTGAATGTCCGGGAACTTTATTGTTGAATAAAAATAATTGTGGTTGAAGTTGAACAAATATTGTTGCTGAATGAAATTATTTTTGGTTGAAGTTGAACAAATATTTTTGTTGAATGAAAATAATCTGGGTTGAAATTGAACAAATATTGTTGTTGAATGAAATTATTTTCGGTTGAAGTTGAACAAATATTTTTGTTGAATGAAATTATTTTTGGTTGAAGTTGAACAAATATTTTTGTTGAATGAAAATAATTTGGGTTGAAGTTGAAAGAAAATGCGTATCGTTGACTATAAATATAAAATGTTGAATATAAATATATGTTGTTGAACATAAATATAAGTTGTTGAATATGAAGGTCCAAGTTGTTGAATTTTGCAACATTTGGCTAACCATAGCCGAGACATGTCTGTCAATTTTAAAATTGTCGTTATTTATTTGATATTAATGGTCATTAATTGTTATCTTCCTGTTATCCTGACCTTTCGGTAAGAAGAATGATGGACGTCTGGGCACAAGGTCCATATCTATGGAAATGTAAATGAGCCCCTTAACGTTTTCGTGGATGGTTGCGGGACACCTTTCGTGACTGATCTAGATATAAACATCACAGCAGAGAAAGAACTCACTTTCCTTAGCCTTACTCATGAAGATTGTTTGTGCAGGATATGCAAAAACCGGTACTAAGTCAATTGCCAAAGCCTTGCGGCACCTTGGGTTTACAGTGTTCGACTGGGAAGAGCAAATCTTTGACTTTCTAGATGACTGGGTTGATGTGTTTCAAAATGGCGCCAAGCCTGATGTTAAGCGACTTTACCAGAATGCTGATGTATGCGTTGATATGCCTGGAACCTTTTTCTACGAAGAAATTCTGGAAGCTTTTCCTGACTGTAAAGTGATTCTGAGCGAACGGGATGAAGATTCCTGGGTGGAAAGTCATGTAAATCAACTGGAGTCGATCGCTGCGGCACGATATCGATACATGATTCGGTACTTGTTATCGCCAACAGCATGTAAAGTTAGGGGCGTCGTGAACTCCTACGGTAATGCTCTATTTGGCTCTTGTAACCCCAAGTCCACCTATGTTTTCAGAAAGCGATATCGTATCCACAACCACCGTGTGAAGTCCATTGTTCCCGCTGATAAGTTGCTGGTGTACAACGTGAGGCAAGGATGGAAGCCATTGTGCGATTTCTTGGGTTGCGAGGTCCCCTCGATTGCCTTCCCACATGAAAATATCAAAGCTGGAATTACTTCCACCATTGGCATGACCAGATATGGCCAGCATATAAAATGGGAAATGCAGAGAGGTCTTTTGGCAATCGGCACAGTTATTGTAATAATTGTAGTGGCAATTTTGGCCATCTGTTTTCATGAGTAAACAAGCCAACTGGCAAGAGCAATAACTGTGGCGTCTTCACTGGTTTGTTCATCTCTGTTGATACATCGTAGTTTCTCATCACTCAGTATGTTCCAATACAAAATAATACGCCATTTACGAGAGTTTATTCAACCTCTTTTGTTTTGCAATTTCGTAAAAAGTTTACCCAATAAACTTAAAGCGTATATACCCGACTAATTAACAATACCCCATGAGGCGAAGCCGAATGGGCTATTGAACCGTGGCCCTTGGGGGCGAAGGGTCTAATTGTTTTAGTATCACCCAACTAGTCGGACAGAAAAGACAGTAGTAAAGTTAGCAAATGCAAGTTGAGGAAATATTTATCTGGGAATAAAACGAAAGAAAGCGTCACGCACGATTGCGCCAATTTCGCTACTCGAGGACTATTACTAATAGACCTCTAGTAGCGTAGCCAATTAAAATGCAGGATTTGCATTAGTCCACTAGTTGGGTGATACTAATCATTGTTTAAACTTTTAGTTATACTGTGTGTCCTTGACACCCCGTATACTTTAGGTCGCATTCTTTATCAGAGAATTAAAAAGAATCAGAAAGAAAGAACGTTTTGGCCTGCAGGGATCGAGTTTTTGCCCAAATCGTGCGTACATACGTATCACAATTACACGGATGATTGACGCAGCTGCCTTAGGGTCAAAGGAAGTTTGTTCAACACAGTCACGAAAATGTACAGAATCAATAAAGAACTTAATAGAGTGGTATTACTCTACATACTCTGAATACTAAATCTTTGATGCGTCTTGAGTCATAGGCAATCTTTATGCAGTCGTAGAAGTAGGGAGGATTTGATATGATCCACGGTCACCAGTCCTCACCACCGTCTCTTACTTGTGATTCCTATGCTCTCCAAGGGTTACTGCGTGCCGGCATACCTTAATAATGCAGCAACTCTCATTACTTTCGGAATTAGCAGCCTTTTGGACACGCTATTTTTGGGGTTTTTTACTATTGTAGTGTCGTTAGATTCGAAAGTTTACGATATACTTAACTTGCCAAGTATAGAATGACGTCATAGCACACACACAAAAAACAAGAGACATAAGTCCTTCAGTCGAAATGTGATGTAGTAGATGTGCTCGTGACTTTATCGAGCTACATTTGAACAAGGATCAATTAATTGACATCACAACAGTCACAGCAGATCACTTTTTATAGCTTTACGCATGAAGATCATCTGTGCAGGATATGGAAAAACCGGTACTAAGTCAATCGCCAAAGCCTTGCGGCACCTCGGGTTTACGGTGTTCGACTGGGAAGAGCAAACGTTTGACTTCCTAGATCACTGGGTTGATGTTTTTCAAACTGGCGCCAAACCTGATGTGAAGCGAGTTTACCAGAATGCTGATGTATGTGTGGATACGCCTGGAAATTTCTTCTTCGAAGAAATACTGGAAGCCTTTCCTGAGTGCAAAGTGATTTTGAGCGTAAGAGAGGAAGATTCGTGGATAGAAAGCTATGTGCGTCAATTGGAATTTATACATGCTATGCGATCCAACATTGTCTCCATGTTATCGCCAACCTCGAGGAAATTCGATTACGTTTTGGATTCGTTCCTTACTGCCGCCGGTGGATCTATTAACCCCAAGTCCACCTATGTTATAAGAAAGCGATGTCGTATCCACAACCACCGTGTGAAGTCCATTGTTCCCTCTAACAAGCTGTTAGTGTACAACGTAAAACAAGGATGGAAGCCATTGTGTGATTTTTTGGAGTGCAAGGTCCCTACTATTGCCTTCCCACATGAAAATATCAAAGCTGGGATTACTAAGACGATTCCCTTTACCAGACTTGGCCAGAAGGTGAATTCGGAAGTGGAGAGATATCGTATTTTGTGGATCGGTTCACTTATAATTATTATAGTAGCAATTCTGGCCATCTGTTTAAATCGTTGAAGCTGGCCTAGCTAAGGGTGGAAAATATGATTACTCTATTGATACGCTTTAGTTTGTTTTGTGATCCCTGAATAGAATAGGAACACCGCAAACGCGAGTTAATTTGAACATCTTTTGCATTGTTAGTCCGTTAAAATTACTTAACCGTAGTTTGATTATTTGCTTCGTTCAAGCGATGTTAACTGTTTTCGCCCTTTTTTAGTAGAAAATTATAACGAATCAGCAAGTTCGGGTCTTCAGGGAGCGGGTTTAGCGGGCTTAGGAGCCAATCGTGTGTATATAAACGTTACAATTTCGACGGTTGGTTCGCTCAAACTATCCTGGGATCCAAGAAATTCTGTTCCACTCAAATGCCTCAATGGCTTATTACAAAACAGTCACGAAAATCCAGTATCAAGGATCGATAAGGAACTTAAATTAAGACGGTATTACTGTAATGCTGTTATTCAAATAAAGGAAAAGAAAAGCTTGAAATATTAACTTTTTAATCGTTGACTGCGTCAAAGAAGGATTTGAATATTAGCCATTTGTGACTTGACCTTGTCATCTGTTGCGTGCTGAAGCGCAACCTCGTTCCCAGGCTCTCTCTCTCCTCTGTCTCCTTTGTCATGTCGTTGGGAGAATACATTTTTTTTTACGTATGACGTCTCATCAAAGTAAAAACAAATGGCTCTGATAAAGGTTACAAATAATATCACTAAAGATGGTTGCCCAGTCTTATTAGCCCATTAAGGTTATTTCGGGCAGCCATGTACTCTTTTTATTTCAACTTATTTTTGTTCATTTAATTTCTAGTTGAGTACAAATAAAGTTGTTATTGTCACGGTTGTTGTTATTGTTGTTGTTGCTGTTGTTGTTGTTGTTGCTAAAGCTCTAATTTTCCAGCGGATGTAATTTTCTTGTTTTACTATTAGGTCCCGTGCAAAAACCGCGATTTGTTTAGAGTGCAATTGATGTGTTGTGTGACAGCGCCAGTTTCCAACGATTCACAACTTTGATAGAAAATATCCTGTGTCCAGAATTCTTCATTGTCTTTTTTTTTCAAGCAAAAATAACGGTCAAAGCTGCTGTAGTAAGATACCCTCTCTTCGCCATCTAGGTTCCCATCCATGAAAATTGTTCACTTTCGAGAAATGTCTGTTGGCGCATATATGTAATGAGCGGTCTTTTATTTTTGAATGTTTAACAATTTTTACCTCTCTGTTTCAGGTAGTGGCGTTGGAAAAATAGGACCATGTAAGCTAAATTCCTCCTATTTCTTTGCATTGCATATTCAAACTTCTGTGGAACGATACGACTAAAGATTTCTCCCAATATTAAGAACTTGACGATATACAAGAAACCTCCCCTTAGAACAAACCCCCTGCCAGTGGAATACAAACGTCCTGGCGTAATAAAACTCAGTACAGATAACTAACGTCCCTGTGAAAACAATGCGAGGCAATGAACCTCCCCATATAAAATAAGGCGATGTAACGAATCTCCCGATATATATAGCAACCCCCCTTCCTTCGATACAACGAGCCTCCTGACATATGGAACCCCCCGGCCTGTGTAACAAGCCCATTGACCTGCTCTTACCGAATAGCAAACTCGAAATTCGAAATTCGACAAATCAACCCCCTGGTGAGGAACCTTCCGATATAGGGAGCTTCCCCATGTAACCAAGGGGTCATAGAGGAATTCTTCTAGTGGAACAAATCACTCCTCCCAAAACAACCAACTACATGGTTGAAGTAAAAAAGGTCCCAATATAACAAACTAATTTCCGAATGTAACAAATTTTCTTCGTAACGAAGCCCAACATCCTACATAACACATTTCATGTATGTTCACAGCGAATTGCCCCAATGGATACCAACTGTACAACAATATATGCTACAAGTTCTTCCCGGGTCCAGTGAACTGGGTTCAAGCATCAGAGAAATGTGCCGCTCAATTTTCTACCTTAGCATCGATAAACAGTGAAGCTGAAGACTTCTTCATAAAGACTCTTCTAGTACGTTATTAATGTAGTCAGGAGCCCATGGATCATGGGTTCCTGGTGTAGACAGTACACTTTACTAGTTCAGTCGTGCCTACTGAAGTCAAATGAATTTTCTTGAATCATCGGCGCATGTAACAAATGACAGTGAATAGCTCATGCAGAACGCCTAGTAAACAAATGTACGCATTGCGTGCCTAGATTTTATCTTGCACGTATTTCATTCAGCATTTCTACATTACAAATAGTTCTTATTGAGCCTTCGCGGTTGACTGAAACCCGGGATTCCAAAAAGGATCTGGAGCAAACGTGTAAATTCAATTTGGACTAGAGAAAGGTGCTAGCTGAAAAATTATTTTGTCCAGCTCGCGCGAATTATCATCGCTCCCCTCAACGCTGATTGCGCGTCGCGCATTGATGTTTTGGGAGAACAATAGCGCCTACCTTTTAGTTAATTGGTACAGTTCAAGCAATCATGATTCGTAAAGCTCAACATTGGATAATAAATCCACGTTTTAAATAATTTAAGAAATAGAAAGCGCTCCGCCGTGTTGCTAACAAGTTATTGAAACACAGTCAAATGGAAAATGTTTGCTATTTCTTTTAGAAAACACTGCTCAAAAAGGATCATATATATGTCAACAGCACCTGCTAGTTCTGTGTTTCTATCGGGTTTTAGTATAAATCTACTAGCGTTCTATTACGCATGCCGCTCTCTGATTGGCTACACTACTCACTATCTGTTCTGTGATAGACAGTGAGTAACTTAGCGGCGTGCGGGTGTTAGCAAAATGACGGCTCACTCTTCTTTGCGTTTTTGAAGTAACTATCTGTGAAGAGGATTTAGAATGAAGTTTTGAACCACTAGTAGATTTATACTAAAACAATAAGACTATTCGTTCTCAATTTCTATAACTATCACCTCATAGAAATCGAGAGCGAATAATCTAATTATTAAATAGAAGAAGAGCTTCGCACGCGCTTTCTAACAGGGTGTTTTCAAATTTCATGAACAGACCTCAGGTGGCGTTTCGGATGCCTGGATCGGTGTTAGTGATGTGAACAATCAAGGAATCATGGCATGGTTGGACGGCAGTGAACCAAACTTCATGAACTGGGATTACTACCAGAAGAATTTTCCTGGCAAGAAATGTGGCGTCATCTTCACCAACTTCAACTGGAAGTACAAACCATGCAATGGAGCAAGAGGGTTCGTCTGTAAGAAACCCCTCAGAGGTCAGTAGAACCTATTCCCTCCCTCTTGGAGTAAAAAGTCTTTTCTGAAGATGGCAGAGAGAATTCCCTTGACTCCTTGTAAGAGCGCACTAGCCAAGAGGCCGCCGCGATTCCCGTAAAAGGGTGTCGATCAATTCTTCAGTTGTTAATCGCATTAATCAGTTTTTTTTTTTAATTACTTCAAACGTTTCAAGTAATTACCTTTGCGCTTGGGATAATTTACACTTTTGCAACCAGGGAGTATCCAAAAGATGACTAGCGTAGTTGAATTTTAGTGTAAAGTCTTTGTAAGCGCGAACACAAGAACCTGTTTGACACGTACGCGACGACTGTTTTTAATTTTTAGGCATTACAGAATACTTGGTAATCCTTCGTTACGAGAATAAACTATGGACGGATAACCTTTATTACCCGGGAAGCACTAGGTACCAGGCTCTCAGCAGGCATATCCAAGAAGCGGTAAGCTCACAATAATCGCTTCAGTGTCTTCGCTTACCCTTTCATCTTTCATCAGGCGTACACGTGTTGCAACACGGAATAAAGTATCCTGACAAACTTCAGTCGTATTCCGATTAAAATGCACTGATTCCTGCAGGTTATTGTAAAGTAACTTACTTTCTTTGAAGAAATGAATCGCTTTCTTGCCGATGGCCCCAAAACGGGCTATCTGGTCTGAAAAGAGTTGTTTTTGAATCAAGATGTTAAGTTATAACATGTTAAGGTATAATTGTCTAGTAACATTATTTGCGGAAAAATTATTATATTTGATTGAAGAGATTGTAGAGCCATGTAAATTGCCATTAACAGAAGAGGGAACCTTTACGTTCACAGTTGTCTTCTGTTTGCGTGAGTCTTTTAGCCTGCCGCTGCGATATCAACATTCATTTTCTTTTTTAGATGAGGGTTGAGGAAATTGGTACATTGATCACAAAGGGGATGAGAGATTTAAAAAAAAAATCACCCATTAAATGCAATGAGAAATGAATAGAGAAACTACAAGTTGACGTCTGTTAACGAAGCGGATCCATTCCGTTTTCTGTTTGATTGACAGTTTCTTGATGTGTTTGGCGACTACGATTGGTTTGAGCAAGTAACATTGGATCATTTCAGGTAAGTACAGATAAGCCAGTGCTTGCGATAACTAAGGTTGTCACGCAACGAATTCCTTGCTAGCAAAATATGTTGATATCTGCTGTGGGTACTGTTTTGTCAAGTGACCGGTGCCCAGATTTTTTT